GTGGTGCGCACGTAGTTCACTCCAGATGGCATGGAGACCTTGTCGAATCCCTTGGGGAACAGTTTGTGGGCCTCCTCATCGGTGACAGTGGGCAGGATCATGACCTTGGTGCCAGGCTATTGAAGAAGCACGATTAGTGGGGATTCAATTGAATTCCATCGGGGATAGTACTTACAGTCCAGTTGGCTGGAGTGGCCACCACCTTGAGGCGATCAGTCAGCTGCAGAGAGTCAATGGTCCTCAGGATCTCACTGCGAAATTGGAGAATCGTTAGTCAGGAAACCATCTGAAAACCTCCTGGAAGAGAAACTCACTCGACGTTGCGGCCAGTAGACATGGGGTAGAACATGGAGAGGCGCACCTTGTGGTCCGGGCTGATAATGAACAGGGCGCGGATGGTCTTGCCCACCTCGGGGTCCTTCTTCTGCTCCTCATCGAGCATGCCCAGGCTGACGGCCAGGTCCCGAGTGGGGTCGGCGATGATCGGGTAGGGGAAGTCCCCGGGAATGTCCAGGCAGTAGCTCTTGATGTCGTTCACCCAGTCCACATGCGAGTTGAGTGCGTCCACGGAGTGCGCCAGGCACTTGGTGTTCCGCTTGGCGAACTCGGGCTGGTGCACCGCAATTCTGCCCAGTTCGGTGGTGCAGACGGGGGTGAAGTCGGCGGGGTGGGAGAAGAGCACCACCCACCTGAGGACCGGGGATCGGAGGGAGAACTGGATGAGCATTGGGAAACTGGGGAAGCTGGTCTGATGGCACTTACGAGTTGCCCTGCCACTCGTGGAAGCTGATGGGTCCCTTGGTGGTGTCGGCCTGGAAGTTAGGTACGGTCTGTCCCAAACGCATCTTGATGTGATTTTACTAGTTTAGCACTTGGATAAAACTCTTTAGTTGCTCAGCTGGTAGCTGTTGCTGGCTCGCTCACTTGTTGCTTACTGAATACTGACTGCGAGAGACCGCTGCCTTTTATACCCAGCTGGATCGGTTCCACCTGTGGGAGCGATAGAGACAGAGAACGGGCGCTGCCTTATCGCGCATGTTCATATATAGTATATGGTGTAGTGTATAGATTAATAAACAATTCAAAGCAGAGGGATGGAGGAGGGGGATGGAAGGCGGAATGGGGGGACCTCGTGCAAGGAAACCTTGTTTTGTTTGAGACTTGACTGGGGCCTCTACAAACCTGATTATGGCCTCACCCAACTTTGGACTTTGTGGCGAAATGCTTCTAGAAGTAACTTGTAGAAAAGTACAGTTTGGCTTGTTCGTCTTTCTTCTTTTTAACCAGTTCTAATTGTCCAAATAATGCAAATTCCATCAGGATCGGCCCCCAAACAGCTGATCCGCTCCAGCTGATGGATTTACCGGCTCCAAACATAAACAGAGCGTCAGAGAGCATTTGAATATGCAATAGTGGTGGTGTTCAGTGGCGAAACACCAACACAAGCGAAGGTTCGAGTTCACCGATGGCGGGACAGTGAGATCGAGAGAGCGATGAATAGTGAATTGGTATTTGTAGGTGCCCGTGGAAAAGCACACTACGATGGATCGCCGTGCTCTCACGTACACAAAACGAGCCTCCAATTGGGAGAGAAGAGCGAGGTAATTTATGAGACTGTGTGCGTGGGTCCAACGGAAACTCGCACACTAGTGCAGATATTCTCTCAGTGGGTTACACGAATGGGTGAAGTGGGTTTGGGTAGTCGCACAGGCAGGTCGCTAGCTCAGAAGCCAAAAGACAGTATACAGGACAGGAACCCAACTTGGAATCCATAATGGAAAAGATCAGATCCTAATAGAGGATTAAAATATGCAATATGCAACGTATGAAAAGGTTAAAAGAGGTGTCCAGTTATTATTGTTGCTTACAATGGCAGTTTGTCTAAAGTACAGGCTTTTCTGTCATTTGAAAAATCTTGGTTAGTTTTAAGGTGAAATTTGAGGCGCAAAATCGTTTGGTTATATTATACACATTCTGTGGTTATTTTCCATTTGCGGTTGGTTATCATTTCCAAGGTTGTTTGTTGTTTACAAAACGCAATATCTGGTCAACAGGGAGCGGACGCAAGATTATATTGGTGCGGGGGAGAAAGAGAGAAAGAGTAAGATTAGAAGAGAAAGAGGCAAACTGTGGAGAAAAAGAAAAAAGAAACAGCAGAAATAATAGAGCGAACCGGGTTTCGCAAATGTGCGATAGACTTTCAGAAGAACAAAATGATATCGAGCATTCAAAATGTGGCGCCCTTTTAAAACAGCTTACATAATATAACTTTCATGCTTGAACTATAAAAATGATTGGTTTATTACTATTACATTACACAGGAACACAAAACTGAACTTTGTGAAATTTCCACGAACCATTTCTAGTTTTCCAAGATAATTGGGTGCTCCTGAATAATATATAGCGTTTATTATTTTCGCTGAAATCTACTCTCAATACATCACGGCATTCCTCAAAAATAGTCCCCATTGTCAACCATTGCCAGTTTCTTTGGAATTCGACGCCAAAGTTGAAAATCCAAAAATTTTCAAGTTTTCTCTGATGAAAAAAGAAATCTGAGAATTAAATCTTAAATGGAACTAATTTTAACTATTCTTTGAATCTATTGTTCATTGTGTGCTTTAATTTCGGTTTAAAGCGTTTCCATGAGGACATTTTATTGGATTTATTAATTGAATAAAACCGCTTTTTTGATGTTATTATCTGCTCCTAAATGCTGTCAAATCTTAAATAAGTATTAAAGATTGGCTTGCATCTCCGTTTGAATCCACGTGATTACGTGATTATGGACAGACCCTTACTCAAATCTCGAAAAAAAAACTTTATGTAAACATTTTTCTATGTAAAACTGTTTTTATAAAACACTTTCATTTTGTGAAAACTGATTAGCTTAATACTATGTTAATTAAAGTTTTCGCTATTTTGATTAAAAAAATTTTTTTAACCGCTAAGAGAGTCGGTAACTGAATTTTTAAACCAGTGTGCCTGCCAACAGAATTTGGAATGGAACATCTGAATATAGCGCCATCTGGAGTTACATTTATTTTTAAAATGGTTAACAAAGTATTGATTATTACAGTTGTATTTTTAATTACAGCTACAAAAAAATTTGAATAAAAAGTGGAACCCTCTAAACCCTCTAAACCCTAGTTGGCACCACTATTTCATTATCTTTAGATTCAATTTTCCGAATTGTTTGTAAAAACATAAAGAAATGATATACTAGTGTTTAACGATTAAACTTTACTTTACTTTTTGGTATATGGGCACTTCCAAAAAAAAGTCCACCAAGCCAAAAACCTTGAAACTTGAATTAAACATATTTCCACATGATTTTGCCCCTATATTAGTTTCTAATTAGTTGGATACTGAGCTTAACTACAAATTTGGAGTATAGTTTGATTATTTTTATGACAAACCCGACCAATATACGCAAAAATCAGTTTTTGGCTATTTTTTTGTTATTTTTTGGACTTGTCTTCTGTTGTTAATTTATCCTATAGGAATGCTAATATGTGACATTTTTCTGTACTGAATGCTTCATTCACATGCTAAACTATTAAGTTAAAAGCAAAACATCCAGCAATTGAGAGATAGAGGTAAAGAAATCCGCTTTACAAAACAGTCGGAAAAAATGTCCCGAGCGACATGTCCCGAGCGAATGTGGTTGAAACTGCATAAAAAAAAAAAACGGCAAAAAATTTTTGAGTAAAACCAAAAGCATTTCACAGCGACATGTTTGAACAACGTTCTAAAAAAAATCGCATTAAAATATTCCATCAGAATTCGCTAATTTCTGGTGTTGTATGAACTTCCCCGAAATCCACTTCTATTTTTGTCCCGAGCGAATACGGCAGTTTTTTACCGATATCTTAAAAACTAAAAGTGGTACAAAATCAAGATTTGTACCAAAAATAGAGCTTGGGAAGAGTGAAAAGAAAAGGCCATAATTAAAATTAAAATCCATTGTTTTACAATTTTTTTTCAACTTTAAAGGTGTGCAAATGTCCCGAGCGACATTTTGGAAGTGCCCATATGTAATTGCTTATCAGATTTTAAATTTGGCGCCTAGATGAAAAAATCGATAGGAAATAATCGACGACTACGGAGAACTGTAGTCAATTTTTCAAGCAACCCATCGATAGTATCGAATAAACATCGAACTGTGTTCCAGCACTATAGCATAAAGTCAAAACTCGTAGATTTAACAGCGCATTGCAACTGCTCGAAGGTAAATATAAGTACAAATCAACCGTAGATCCGTTCAACAGCACCGAATGCGAGCCAAATCGAATTCATCAGCTAAACTAAAACCCCAACAAAGATCATTTGCCCCAGCTAAAAAATAATTTTCTTCACTGTGCGTGTGGGGCCTGTAAGTGTGTGTGCCTGCTGCATGCATATGCGTGTGTGCGAGAGAGAGAGTGCTGGTCGAGTGTGAGTGTCGAGTGTGGACAGTGACTCGTTGGTTAGAGGGAAAACAAAGAAAACTTCAGAAAAGAACGACGTAAAAGGCATTTACAAATGTAAAAACTAAAAACTTATTTGCTAGCAATGTTGAAGAGTGCAAAGAGCATTGGCTAATTTCGTTTGGTTATTGATTTTTTGCATTTTCGTGCATGCAGTTTTGTAGCTGTAGTTGTTGTTGTTTTTCTTTGGTGCTGCAGCTGCGCGTCGCAACTGTAAACTGCTGTTGCTGTTGTTGTTGCTTGTATTTTGGGTCAGTGAGCAAACGAGAGTGCACGAACCAGAGGGAGCGAGAGAGAGAGAGGTGGACAGTGTAACGGACAAAGGACATTGCATTTTGGAGGTTGTTGTTTGTGTTTGCTAGTTAACACCGCCCCTCCCCTCCCCACCCTTCTCCATCACCTCATGTATACACACAGCATCTGCATATGCATTTCATCTGCTCTCTCTCGATGCTGCTGGCTCACTCTCTCTAATCCCTAGCTGACTGTCTCTCCTCTCAGCCAGCCTCCTTTGCAACCACAACAACAACAACAACCATAACATGGAGAACGTCGAAGAGGCCCCGCCACTCTCTTCGGAGAGCAACAGCAATAGCAACAACAGCAGCGCCAGCAGCAGCTCTCACCAGCTCTCTCAATCGGGTGCCATGGGAGCAGAGGCCGAGGCCGAGGCCGCCCCCACTTCGTCTCAGTCCCTCTCTCGCTCGCACTCTCACTCACCCACCCCCGCCCCCGGCCCCTCTCACCAGCCCACCCATCCCGATCACCCAACTCCCCCATCCGAATTGGAGGCTCGCGAGAATTCACCGCATGATCACTCACCCACTCCTACTTTCCACCAGACTGCACCGCCACCCACGACTCCATCGACGGCACCGCAGCGGGAAGAGCGGCAGGAGCAGCAGGATCAGCAACAACAAGAGCCAGAGAACCCGGCTTTGCAGGACCAAGAGCCATTGCAGGGACAGCAGCATCCACATCAGGATCAGCAGTTGCCTGATCAAAATCGGGAGTTGCAACATATTGAGGGTCTAATCCGGCATCCCCCACAACAGGCATCGCTGGAAGACCAACCGGGACAAGAAGACAACCGCGAGCCGGATGAGGCACAAGTTCGAGAGGACGAAATCGAACCGGAAGCCGAGCCACCGCCACCGCTGCTCCTCGAAGATCTGGACGATCAGGACTCGGAATCGCAGCAGGATCTTAGCGAACAGCAGCTTCAGCCGGCGGCAGTGATCATAGACGCCAACGCTATAGCCGAAACCATAGACGCCAACGCCGTGGAGCGCATCGACGACTACGAAGAGGACGACGAGGAGGTGGATGAGGAGCAGGAGGAGGTGGTAGAGGACCGGGTCGATAGAGCCGGCGAGGTCGCTTCCGTTTCCGGCGTCCAGCGGCTGCACTCGGTGGCCGTTTTGCCCCGCTACTCCTCAGCTTCACGTGCCCCGCGAGGTAGTGGCAGCAACAACAATAACAACAACAACAATAGCAACCATAATAACAACAACAATAATAACAGCAGCGGTCAATCGCGACGCACTCGCCATTTTTACAGCAACAACGGCAGTCACTTCAGCAACGACATGTTCCCCAGCCACGCCCCCCGCAACAGCGCCCAGTCATCGTCGTCATCGCCGAGAATCGGAGGTCGTCGCCAGCACTCGACCCCGGCAGCCACCTCCAATTCGCCACAGCACCAGGGCGTCGATCCCCTGAGGCTGCTCTATCCCAATGTCAACGAGGCCGAATCGCCGCTGCCCAGGTGCTGGAGTCCCCACGACAAGTGCTTGTCCATCGGATTGTCGCAGAACAACCTAAGGGTCACCTACAAGGGTGAGTCGTAACTGAAGTTTGAATTAACCTATAGTTGCTAACGGGCACCATTTCTACGATCAGACATCTAATACTAAGAAGTAATACAAGGGTGTCACGAAAAGCTAAAATCAGAGAAAATGTACAAACAAAACTCTTACAAATCTCTATGAATTCTGTGAAACCGACGGTTTTGGTTGGTTGCTTTCCAAACCAACCTTCCTCGGTTTCTGTGACACCCCCTAAATATTCCAAAACTTTGTGGAAAAATAGTTTGGCCAAAATTCTATAGCTCATACTCTTCTAAGTGGTATGAATTTTGGTATGTGCTTTAAAATTGGAAAAGTAAATGTTTTACCTTCGGATCAGTGTCCCTAGTATCGAAACTTTTTCAAAAATGAGAAATCGTTTCGTTTAATTTTAAAGAAACGTCAATTCCAATTCCAAAACAGTCTATGATTAAATATCAAAGGTGACATGCTTAATTTTAAAGTTTTTAAAGCTGCCGATATTAAATTAATGAAAGTGTTCATCTTATTAAAGCCTTTTTCACTATTTTCCTTTGCTAAGTATTCTAATTAATGCAGTGTAAAATATTTCCCGTGACCAAATCAATGAGTTTTTGGATTTATTTTGTACCTACATATATAAGCCAAATGTATATATCATCAAAGATGTAACACAAGATACCAGAAAGAAGAAGACGATTTAAAGTGCATCTGCAGTTTTCAAGCTCTCCCGCAGTCGCTCTTTCTCACTCACACAGGAACAGACAGGTGCTCTCAGCTGTGTGCTGGTGGTTTTTGTTTTTCACTATTCACTTCTCCCACGCTGATTCGCGTGGCTGTTAAGCCGTTAACAGCAACAGCTGGGATTAACAGTGTAGAATATCTTGTAAAATTAATGTAAATAGTGTAGAATTTTTAGTAAGGGTTCCATGAGGTTCAATATACAAATCATTTATGAATTTATATATAAAATTTTTATATATTTTAGGTATTTATGGAAAGTTAACTTAAGATTAAAATCTATAAGCAAACTAAGAAGTTAAAAGTGGTCGCTGATAACGAAAAATTCCAACTATCTTACTACTATAAAAAATATATAAAACACTACCTAAAATATTTAAAACATATTTACAATTGTGTAAAGATTAGTTTTACTTTTTCGAAGTAGTAATCTTATAAGTAATCTCAAACCAAATTTTATTCTTTTTTGAGTTAGATCCGAAGATTATTTGATTTAGAAACATTAATTTGAATTCAGTGCACTGATTACAAACTATATAATTTGGTTAAGTAAAAAGTGAGGATTCTATGAAAATGGAAAATGGAAGGTTGTATACCCCCTAGATTGATACAAAAGTACTGTGAATTTTGGGTACAATTAAGGATATATTGACACATATTGACACCTCCTGATTTTTAGGCGTGGGCAAGCAGCACAGCGATGCCGCCTCCGTGCGCACTGCCTACCCGATCCCGTCCTCCTGCGGACTCTACTACTTCGAGGTGCGAATAATCTCCAAGGGCCGCAACGGCTACATGGGCATCGGCCTGACCGCCCAGCAGTTCCGGATGAACCGCCTGCCAGGTTTGTGTTGCGATGCGCTGCTCGGCGAGATGCCCCCATGATTCCTAATGACCGCACCCCCTTCAAGTAGGTTGGGACAAGCAGTCATACGGCTACCACGGCGACGATGGCAACTCGTTCAGCTCATCCGGGAATGGCCAGACCTACGGGCCCACCTTCACCACCGGCGATGTGATCGGATGCTGCGTTAACTTCATAAACAACACGTGCTTCTACACCAAGAACGGAGTGGATCTGGGCATCGCATTTAGGGACTTGCCGGTGGGTTTTGACATGCTCCCTTATCCTCTTATCCTTCTAACTCCTTCTGTTGGCCACTCCCCAGACCAAGCTATATCCGACCGTGGGACTACAAACTCCTGGCGAGGAAGTGGATGCCAACTTTGGCCAGGAGCCATTCAAGTTCGACAAGATCGTCGACATGATGAAGGAGATGCGCTCAAATGTGCTGCGCAAGATCGACAGATATCCGCATCTGCTGGAGACCCCAGAGAACTTGATGAATCGGTGGGTATTGATGGTTAAATGCTGCTATACACATTGTTTAACTAACAAATTTTCTTTTTTCCAGCCTGGTTTCCACCTATTTAGTGCATAATGCCTTCAGCAAGACCGCCGAGGCCTTCAATGGCTATACAAATCAGTCCTTCGACGAGGACTTGGCCTCCATCAAGATACGTCAAAGTTCGTATATCTCTTTGCATCCTTTAAGTATATCTTTCAATCAACTATTCATATACCTTCAGAGATCATCAAGCTCATACTGACAGGCAAGATGAGCCAGGCCATAGAGCACACACTTCGCTCGTTTCCCGGGCTTTTGGAAAATAATAAGAACCTCTGGTTTGCCTTGAAGTGCCGCCAGTTTATCGAAATGATCAATGGAGCTGACATTGAGGTGGGTTGAATGATGAATTTTGAAAGAAGAAGGGAGTAACATCAAGGGTTTTTCAATAGAACGTCAACAACAAAGTCACCGCCACCACACAGACCATGCCCACGAACCAGACGTCCGTGATACAGTCCACGAAGGCGTTCAAGCACAGCAAGAGCGGCAATGGAAACGGCAACGTGAACATCAATCAGACTCAACAGCAACAGAACAACACTGCGATTCCAGCTGTGATAAAGCCACAAGGCGGCGATAAGCCAGATATGAAGAAGTAAGGAAAAAAATCTTAATATTTAGTTTAGATGCTTAACCACTGCACCTCTTTTTCCAGCATGTTGGTCGATGACAACTCCAACAAGTGCGTGGACCACGACAGCAACAGCATGGACGTGGAAATGGAGCCCTGCCAGAGTCACGCGAACGGCGGCGACTCCTGCTCCAATGGCAATGCCGGCGCAGTGCGCAACTCTCTAGATGCCATCGACGAGGAAATGGGTAGGTATCTATTGGTTGCGCTTCCGGGAAGATCCGTAATCCCCAGCACTTGCAGATGTAGACGTTTCCCCCTCATCGCGCAGCTGCGGCCGTGTGATCGAGAAGATCCTTGAGTTCGGCAAGGAGCTGTCCAGCATGGGTCAGCAGCTGGAGAAGGAGAACCTCATGACTGAAGAGCAGCGCCAAATGTTAGAGGTACAGTCTAAAGTAGAGCCTTGCGTGAATCATTCAATTTTTGTTTTATCATGGAATCCAATGAAATTTCTGATTTGTTTAATTCAATTCTAATAATAATATTGAATGTTTTTCCAATTCATTTCGAAGTGAATGAATGAATGAATAATTTTTATGAATTTTTTTAATTTGCCATATATTTTTGAGCTTTCTTTTGAGAACAAAAAGTTAAAAATTTTTAACAAATCCATGTTAACTGCATAGTAAAAAAAATTCAGGCAGATTTAATCACAGAATTATGTCCCTTTCTTCTTCTTCTAAAGAAATTGTCGTTTGAATTATTTCGGAATTCATGTCATTCTTTTGTTTAATTCTATTTAACTCAAAATTCAAATTCATTCAATAATATTAAACTAAAATTTCTAATTAATTTATTCTTATAAAACAAAAAATTCAAAATAATTCATTGAATCCATTCATCCAGGGCTTTAGTCTAAAGTCAAACTGGATTTCAGTATTAATTCAATATTCTTTCCAGGATGCATTTAGTTTGATTGCCTACTCAAATCCCTGGTCCAGTCCGCTGGGCTGGCTGCTGTGTCCCTCGCGACGCGAGATCGTTTCCACCACGCTCAATTCGGCCATATTGGGTGAGTCCCCGGGAAACCCTTCTCCGATTCTAAGAAATTAATTATTTAATTAATGAATTACAGAGTCACTCAACTGCGAGCGCCGTCCGCCGCTGGAGTATCTGGTGGCCCACGCCTCCGAGCTGATCAAGGTGATTGGACAGCACTCGCTGGGCGAGGACGCTTTCATTACCATCGACGACGTGTTCCCGCAAAATTGACCCAGCTCGCCGACGCTGCTGAAGATGTTCGAGACCACGCTGACCCTGCCGCGAACCAGTGTGCTCACGGAACCGCTGGGCAGCGCCGGAACCGGAACAGGGCCCTCCACGTCGACGGCCGCCGTGGCCGTCCAGACGTCCAGCAAACGCCGCCGGCGGCGACGCAACAAGCGTCGTCGCAAGTCCTCGCTGTCCAGCAGCACCGATGCCCCGTCGTCCCGAACCTACGATCCCGTGATGACGGGCAGTACGCTGCGGTCGGCAGCCGTGGCGTCGGTGGGCGGCGGGAGCGTTGGGACGGGACCAGTGCGTCGGGGTCGTCGCAGGAGCGGGGTCAGCTCATCTTCATCGGCGGCAGCGGCAGCGGCTGCAGCAGCGGAGGAGGAGGCGGAAGAAGCAGAGGCGGAGGCGGCTCGCCAGGAGGAGGCAGCGGAAATTTTGAGCGGAAACAGCAGCCCATCGATGTTCGTCGATCCGCAGGACTTTTTCGAGACCCTGGACTAAATCTAGATTATTTACAATTTGCAATAGGTTAAATTTTGTTGTTACTCTTCCGTTCTCTCACCTTTTTTACCAGCGCCCCCGGCTTCTGTGCGCCCATTTAAGAATAATAATTGCCGTTCTTTTAACTGTTCGATTATGCTAAAGATGCGAAGCTTTTGGCGGCCTTTGATTTAGCGTGATTTTTAATAACTTTTAACATATATTTTATGTAGCCTTTGTAAGCATTAAAGTGTGTAATATTATGATGTATAATTAAATTTGCGAACGTGCTGCGACACGACCCTTGAAGCTGATCGGATTCTTTGTTTTTCGCTTCCACCGCCCGAACACAAAACACACAGCACACACCACACCCACATATAATCTAGAACCGATATTGAAGCGGACTAGCCTAGTGCAAAAACTGTTCAATCATCTACTTAGCAAGTTAATAGAGAACCGAATCCCATAGTTAATTGGTGTACACCCACGTAGATTTTCCGCGTTCAAATTCTCCGTGTTTTCTGCGATTTTCGATGGATTCCGCGCCATCATGTGTATTGTGGCAAGACTAAGCAAAAGCAAATGAACATTTTAAGTGTAATATTTCGCTATAGTGGTTAAGCATATTAAAATTTAATCTATATATACAAGATTGGTCATACACACATACGGCAAAGCATGAATACAATTTAACTGGATAATCGTTTAAATATATTGTATGGATGTGTATTTCAGGAAAGGCGGAAATGTGTTTTAAATGGGGGAAAAGTGGGGATATCGTTAAGATGGATAATAAATCTGGAGACAGTGGTGGAATATGAAAATTGAATTATAAAAGCTATGATCAAAGCTACCATTATTTACTCTTTGCAAAGAGATAGTTCAAGAATCAACCAGAAAAACATACGTTGAAGGGAACACATTTTCAATAGCAAGTGATAAATGTCGTATATTTTAAATGCCAAATCGTGAAATCACCAAATTTGTATAATATTAAAACCCTTCGATTATACAATGGTTCAGTAATGCACCAGCTTATACGCTTTCTTATATGCTGGATATATAGTTGATAGGGTTCTGTGATCTACAGATCCGGTTGTCTGATCCTCTGCACCTTCTCGTGGTTTTTGACGTGTTCCTTCAGCAGTCGCATTATCTCAGTATCGAATTGCGGGGGCGTGGGCTTTGTTTCGGTGGCCCAGTAGAATATATCCCAATCGTTGCTCACTCCGTTGATTAACTGATCGTATTCTGCGGTCTGTTCGGCATTGAAATCCCTCAGATGTTTGGCCACAAAGGTGCTCAGCAAGAGATCGTTTTCCAGCATTCCACGTTTTCGGCTCTGGTACAAGAGGCTAGAAATTAAGAATAGATGATAACAAACAACTAAGGTTTAATGATATATTTAGTAATTTTATACCGCTGCTTGCGTGTTTCGAGGGGCTCATCCGGACGGACAGGATATTCCGGAACTGGCAAGTGGGGCGGATCATCGTAGTCCACAATTTCCCCGGGTGTTGTAAACTCCGTTTTGTCCAAATTGCTGGCAGACCGGTTTTGTGCGATCATAGGTAGCGCCAGGCGACGGCCCACTATAGAAGACTACATCAAGAAATATTATCAGTTATTTCTGATTCAATTGGGTCCTTAAACTCACCAGAAATTGGCGCAACATTTTAGGAACCAAACAAAAAACAATGATATAACGATACAATGTCTAGTAGCGATAGGAACTTGCTATAAAAATCGATAGTACTATAAAAAGTGCTGAAAAGTGTGTAGAAATTTAAAAATGCTATAAATAGTGATTGCTGTTAAATACACAGTGCAACATGAAAAATGTAACCGCAATTCTGATTTCATGGGCGGAAAGAACTCATCGAAATAAGCTTAAACCCATTTGGGTTTCGCTGGCTTAGTTCGCGTTTACCTTTTATAGCGAGTTAAAGTTTTACATACAAAATTTATTTGTAACGGCCATATCTTGTGAACCGATTAAAATTTCACTATCAAGTCTTCAGTGATTATGTAGCTAGTTAACCCAAGGAACTAAATTGACAAATGACTCTTGCGCACTTAGCACCTAGTATACCTAGCGCGTTAATAAACAAATTTGCTTAATTTTTCGATTTTTAACGCGCTAGGTGTACGTCTTCGCAAGAGCCATTAGTCAATTTAGTTCCTTGGGTTCATAGCTACATAATCACTGAAGACTTGATAGTGAAATTTTAAACGGTTCACAAGATATGGCCGTTACAAATAAATTTTGTATGTAAAACTTTAACTCGCTATAATAGGTAAACGCGAGCTAAGCCAGAGAAACCCAAATGGGTTTTAGCTTATTTCGATGAGTTCTTTTCGCCCATGAAATCAGAATTGCGGTTACATTTTATAACCCTAAAAATGTTGCACAGTGATATAAAACCCAAAACAGTAAGAGAATATTTGTTATCATTATGCTTATATATAAATAATTTTAATTGTTGTCTATTATTTTTTAAATTATTTAAAGACAAATATACTTTGACATACAGGTACAGACAAATATATATTGTTGCTCGGGACATATGCACACCTTCAAAGTTGAAAAAAAATTTAATATTAATAATGTGCTTTTCTTTTCACTCTTTCCAATCTCTATTTTGTGCAAAAATCTAGATTTTTTACCACTTTTAGTTTTTAAGATATCTTTAAAAAAATGCCGTTCAGTACATAAAATTCTCACATGTTAGCATTCCTATAGAATAAATTAACAGCAGAAAACAGGTCAAAAAAATTACAAAAATAGCCAAAAACTAATTTTTGCGTATAAGGATGGGGTACGTCATAAAATTAATCAAACTATACTCTACCACTCTACTCTATACTCATACCAACTAATTAGAAACTAATATGGCGGCAAAATCATGTGGAAATTTATTTTATTCAAGTTTAAAGGTTTTCGGCTTGGTGGACTTTTTGGTGAAAGTGCCCATATGCATTTTATTGACTTTCGATTTGATACTTGATAAAGTTTTCAAATCGAATTTCTTAACAATGACCATACACATTTTTTAAAATATTTATTTATAATTATGAAATTAAGAAACTTTTGGCAAGGGAAGAAAAAAATGCGGTAAAATAAAATTAAACAACAAATTAAAACAGTTTATTTTTAAGAATATCTAAATCAATATTTTTTAAGCTCCTTTTATAGCAGCTGTTGAGGCCAGTGTTGGTCAGGGCCCACCCCCGCCGCGACCAGTGCTGCGCACCGCCGCCGCCAACAGCTGTTCGCGTTGGTTTCTGAGCAGTTTGAAAGAGCGGACGAAGCGAGAGAGAGCAGCTAAATTTTCGCACACTAGAAAAGTGCAATTTACAATATCACTGCGGCCAAAAATACAAGTGCAAGTGCAACGGTAAACATCACGATCGGTGCATTAACAACCGCGTCGCGAAAAAGGAGCGCAAAACGAACGGAACCAATAAGAAAAGGCAGCGCAAAAGAGAGCCTCCTGCACACACACATTGAGCTGAAACAGAGGCACACTCACACGCACATACTTTTGAGCGGTGTGTATACGACTGGAAAACTAGGCGGTGGTAAATGTGAAGCTGAAAAAAAGAAGAAAAAAGGAAAACTCGGGGGGTGGTGGGTGGCGGCGGCCCAGTGGGCGGGGGGTGTGGCGTGTGCAGCGCGTGAGAGTGCGTAGTGCGTGCGTGTGAGTGAGTGCGCGTGCGAGTGTGTGAGTGGAAAAGCGACAAACTAAATGAAAATTTATTCATCCGAAATGGTTAACAGTTTGCATAAAAACGGCATTATTTTTTGCATAATTTAATATTCCAAGAGAATCGCTCGAAGGAAAACTCCAGAACAGCCCACCGCCTTTTTCCAAATAGCCGGCGCTTTTTTAGCGCCTACGCCCACGCTTAATACATACACACAGCAAATATAACAAAAAAGGAAGAAAAAAACCGAAAAAGCTGAAATAAAAAACGTAAAAAATAAACCCAAAAAGTGATGCCGAAATCAGTTAACTAATTAATTGTGTAAAAACTAAAACAAACAATAAAACCATTCCTAATCCAAAAACTAAGCTTAAGTATATGAATTTTTGGCCTCCAGACTAATTCACTTACATGATAAATTACCGTCCCTTATCGGGATCCAGCATTATCGGATGGATTTATCTTATCAGCACGATTGATGAATTTTGTATAGATATCACAAACATGCTCCATATGCAAATTAGCTGGCTATCAATGCTTTTATTTTTACTTTGCGTCTGCTGATAAAAACCAAAAACAACATAATTGAAACAGTGCGCGCCCTATTGGACATACAGTGGTGGCCACAAAATAAGGCCTAGTCCTTGCTTAACGCGTTACAGGGAAAGAACTTATTGTTATATGCTAGCAAAATCTCAAAAATACTTTTATTATGAACTCAGAATTAAATTATTTTCATATTTATTTGTTATTAATCTACAGCCGTGTACAAAATATTTGAAGTTCTTCGATTTAAACGATTTAAAACTACTTAAAAAAAGATAGCCAGAGATAGCTAACATTTTTTAAAAATGACTACATCATTTAAGCAATAGAGCTTTCCAGGGTTTTCCTTTAACGATATTTGGCTTCTTTTAATTCTATAAAAATCACCACATTTATTTTGAACACGGCTGTATAAAGTAAACAGCCTTGGTTTTCATTGGTTCCCTTTATCGATTGTTCCCTGTGAATCACTCGTTGACCCGTGCATTTGTTATTGTTGATGGGTTCAATATTCCATTTCAGTTGAAACCGTAAAACTGTACATAAGCAAATAAGATAAAAAGAAAAGAAGTCCAGGAAAATTGGAAAAGAAAAACCCATAAACCGCACAGAGCCCCCGTGTAAATCCAAATCCCAATTCGAAACCAAATCAGAATCCAAACCCAAACACAATGGGCTGCACAACATCCGCCGAAGAACGCGCCGCCATACAGCGATCCAAACAGATTGAGAAGAATCTGAAGGAGGACGGCATCCAGGCGGCCAAGGACATCAAGCTCCTGCTGCTAGGTAAGTGCACTTTTCCCCATGGTTTTTCCTCACCGGAAGTGGAAATTCTGCTCCACGTTTACCTTTCCACTCGATTTTATTGTTCTATTTCGGGGGAAATGGCTGGTTTATCGGCGGTCGGTTTCCAAAGCACTTGAGTGAATGCGCTGGAGAATTGTATTTTCGGTTGCGTCGATAGATAGGGAGATATTTATTGGGAAAAACGGCGGAAATACTGGATATGAGTAGTGTTTTCCATCACCTGATCTTTAGGTTTTTAGCAGGCCTAAATTGGTTTTCAATTTAGAGTTAAGATAACTCATCGAAATTTTAACCATATTGCAGGCTAAAAATGAATTTTGCTTTCTTAAAAACAGGTTGGATATGTTACCAATTGGAACTCAACACAACTTGAAATATATATAAAACAAAAAAAAATCGTTTACAAGGTAGATTGTTGTGGTTTTATTAAAAAATATCAAGCTATTAAGGGAGTTATATTAAAAAGCAAGAATTTGCATAATACATGTTATCACAGCTACAGTCCCTATATTATTAGATATACTTAGTCAACTTTACATTATTCCCATTGCTTTCCTTAAAATTTGTTGGTATTCCGAATATTCAATTTAGTTAAACTTTTATCAGTTGTTCTTCAACTTCCTCAACAAATAGTTATTTTTTGATAAGCTTTAAATGCTTTTCCAATGGTAGCTAACATGCTGTTAAAATTTCGCGGTATGACATGTTGGCTTACAAAAAACGCACTCAAGGTTATTCCATTTTATTTAACCAATGATGCATCGATTCCATGACAAAACTATTCTTAGTGTGTCTTTTTGGCCATGGCAACTTTGAAGTAATTTGGGTCAACTTTTCGGGTGTTGCTTATGGAATGGTTATCCCAAAATAAAATGGACTTCTAATCCACTGGGCAGCAAACTCAAGAACAATGGCAGCAGCAACAGTTGCATCTGCCTCCACGGCAGCCGAGTGTGAAAACTAAACACTTTCGAGGAGCCATGTGGTTCGTGAATCCCTCGCCTCAATTCAAGTGGCTCAGTTCCACTCGAAGCGGTAGTGATGGGATAGGTACCATAGGGTTTTGAAAAAAACAACAAATTTACCTGGAAATACACATGTTTTAAATATATACCTTGGTGAGAACAATTTTAAAGTTAATTGGGTCTTGAAATCGAACATTAGACATTTCTTATTGAGTAATCCAAAAAGTCCTATACGCTGGTTATTTCCATTGCTGATAAAAAAATGTGAAGAATTTCCTATTTCGATAATTAGAAAACTTGCGAAAATATTGTTTTGCGCTTATCAACAAAAATTAAAAAAAATCGTATATTTATTCAGATAATTTTAATATTTAGTTTAATTTATGTTGTTTAAAGATTGATAGGTTCTCTTAAGATTTGTTCAATCTTGGTGCACAAAATTTATTTAAAATATCCTAATAACACGGTTGAGAGTGGCGTTAAATACAGTGTCCCAAGATGTCTCTCATCTCTGTTCTCTGATGCAGCGCCAATCTCATTGTCAAGTGCATCTGCGACTGCAGCCGCAGCCTTAGCCTTAGCCTTAGATTTTGGCCAAGTGCGTCTGCATGCGCCAAGGAATGAAGGCAATCGACGCATGCAGACATTGAAACAATTGCACGTGTGTGACAGGCAGTGGGCGACAAGGGTGCTCCATGGTTTTTATGGTTTTGGGCGACAGAGTGTTTGTTAACCTGGTTGCGCCACTGACATTGAAATGTCAGTTAATCCTATTGACTTTTACTCGCCCCCAAAAAAGAGAAAAGGATGCAGGCGGCCAGGCGGGAAAAGGACAAAGCTGCAACATACCCGGGAATTTCTCTTTCACTTTAACATCCCAAACAAACATGGTGCTAAAACACGTACACAAAGAAGAATCTCTTACAGGGTTCGGAAAGCATCTCTGAAAAAGTCACATTTGGTTTGGAACTTTCCTTTACTATTTACAGCAAGAATTGATTAAATACCCTTGTATAGAGCTTCTAACCATGTCTACCATGCTTGATGGTATACAATAAATGTCCGGTTTCTCGTCCGCATGTTAAACTAAAAGTAGAGTTTAAGCCTAGAAAAACGAGTTCAAAGCTTAGTTTCTGTTTACCATGTGGACAAGAAAAAGGGTTATAAAGAATTATTCAAAACTGGAAAAACTTAAGCTTTAATAGGACGATAAAACCCGTCAGAAACAAATGGAAAACTTTATTTGTGGCTAATTTTATTTTAGTTTCTTCCGAATTCTCTTTGGGTGTCTAGCCCATAATCTCTGTGTAGGCGCATTACTTCGCCCACAGTTACTCGCTGTTGTTCTGTGCAATCAGGCAAAACTTTTAAACGCCCTAACAAGCAACAAGGAGCCGAGTCGAGTGGCGAGGAGTGGATTGCAGCCATGTTGCAACAAGGCCCATTGAATGGGGAGGAGGTTGCTGGGCAAAACTGGGTAGCAGGGTGTTCTCCACAGACGAATGGCAGGCGGAAGCATCGAATGGCGGCCAGGAAACACTAACGAAACAATGGACGGCACAGGACGGAAGGGAGTGAAAGGAAACGTGTACATGTCCTGGGTGTGGCTGCATACTTTGCAACAGCACTGTGCCTCTCGTGTGGCGCCCCCTGGCGGAAGTTTGAAGAAACTGCCACTTGAGGCATAATTTTCAAGCCAAAGGTTATTGAGGAAGCGTTCGATGCTCGTTTGTTTGCCACTTTGTGGGCCCTTGTGGTGAGTGATATGGCTACATAAGACAATGAAAAAACAATTGCAGTCTGAACCGAACTAAAGTTCTAAAGATAAAAATGACGATAAAATATATGTATATTTACATATCTTCTTCGCTTTAGGAAAGAACGGAAGCAGTTTCTAAGGTACTGTACTCGTTCTTGGAAAAATAAGAATTAAATTCCAACACTAATTAGGTTTCCTAATGACAGTTAGTTAAACTTAGAGATAAGGATACTGTCACCTTTTCTAAACTTTAACAGGAATTAGTTTTATCTCACCGATGATAAAATATTTTGTATGCTATCAGAAAGCGGGAGCGTCCAGGAATTAGTTATTGATAACAGCGGAGTTTCACTTAAGGGAATGAAAGAGTTGGAAGCATTGTGACCTTGCGAATTTCTTTGGCGCATTAAAAAAGTTATTGACATGAAAAAGTACAATAAATACATTTCAGATTAAAGACCAATGGAAAGACCGATCGGAAATGTTTAACAAAAAGCGGAAGTCATTCGATTTAAAACTTTGGGCAATACCATATGCTTAAATTCCTTAAAAGTATTAAGGCTGACTCATTACAAAAAACGTTTAGTTCAGTTAAACGGGGGCAGAGTATAATGTTCGGGTGCTTACCCTAAAAAAGTTATGGTGAACCATTATGTATTTCATTATTTTTTATTATCTTCTAATCGAATAAAATATACTCTAATATTCGAATGAATATTATTTAATGGCAAATCAACATAAGCTGTCGATGACCCGCGCAATCTGCAGCACCAAGCAAATGTAACAAAGCAATTAAGTTGAGACCCGTTTCTCCAAACTCTCGGAGCCAAACGGGCCACAAAATGCCAGTAAACAGGCTCGTTAAATAAACTATAAAAGACGCCAAATACAACACAAATCGAACCTAATTGAGCCGAGTCAAGTGTCGCCCGAGTGCCAAAAGGCCCCGCGACCTGCAACCCGTAAAAGGCCACAGAAAATGGAAAATGGCAATGGCTGGATGGATGGTTTGTTTGGGGGGTGGTGCAGATTGTTTCAGACAAGTGCACAAGTGCTCCACTTTGCCGCTGTCTGTCATTTATTCCAAAGAGCCGAAGAGTTCGCGTGATATAAAACAAAAAATAAAAAAGTTGTCAATTTGTTTGCCGTTTGTCGTTGGCTGCGGTTTGCGGTTCCTGTCCTCTCGCTGCCCCTCGCCCCATAAAGTATATGTAGTTCACCCTCTGCTGCTCGATCCCAATTCATTCAATAATTTCATTTGCCCATTCATTGTTTTTTTTCTGTACTTCCATCGTTTTGGTCCATATTCGCACAGTGATAATTTAATTAAGCTCGTTAGGGGCATCGAGGTGAAAACAGAGGTTCCCTTTTGAGTTCAAAACATTTTACACGAGGCAATATACATATGTTTTTAGTCGCATCAAAAATTTTGCAGATTCCCTATTAAGTCAAAGTATAAAGTTACAATATAGTTATTAATATTAAAAGATTTTAAGGACTACTCTTTGTGACATGAATATAATTGAGTGTATTGAAATGACAAAAATATATACCTTAAGTTTCACTCACACATTTTTAAAAGTTTTCCTGTTTCCGATTTTATTTCTCCGTGCACTTCGTGCACTTTCAATTTTCCCTTTTTTTGACATTTTGTTTTTGTCACGCCATTTGCTCGTCTAAAGTCACATTGCCCGTTTCCCTGAACTCTTTGACACGGGAACGTGGAGGTAATTATCGCCGCCTTTAACGAACATTGGACGGTCTGAAGGCGGTGGGGTAAGTATTTCTCGGAAAATCAGGCTTTACCCGGAATACATCCGGATGGCCCCTTGTCAATGGTTCAGAATCAGGATGTCAGCACTTAATTGGCTGGTTGATGAGTGTTCAAGGTAAAGTGATATCAGTTGGCCAAGAAACATTGCATATTCCAGAAATTCTCGGTAATTTGAGAGACAAATGCACCATTTCTTGGATAATATGCATTACCTTGTCAATTGATGTTTAAATTAATGGAAATTGGATTAGAGCGATAATTATAATAGCCATGCATTTACAAGATGCATTTTTGGACTGACGAATTCCAAGTAACGAAATTTGTATCAAAGTAGACGGGTTGTAATACGAAACGGAAACTAGTCGATCTAGCCATGTCCGTCTGTCCGTTTCTAACCGAACTAGTCTCTGAGTATTAAAGCTATCGTAACGTACATAAGTCGGAACGAGTCTTAATTTCGGTTTTAATTGAAGAAATATCG